GGCCTGATTCGTTTGGGCTCGGCTTGGCGCGCCGATGGGTCGTTCTCAGCTCACGGCTCCTGGTCCCTGTGAGTTGTGACGTCCCTCGACTTCTCCAATCATTTTTGTGCAACCAGGCGACATTAAGATTAACACTCCACTCTTAGTATTTCAAATAATTAATAATAATAGAGAGATTTAAGTCGTCATCATCAACTGTTTATGTGTTTCAGATCTTGGGCTCCCTCGTGACCTCCTACGATCCTTCCTATGGTGGAAAAACTCAGATTAATTATCTTTGGGAAGTTGACCAATGGCTAGATGAATGGCAAACGCAAGGCTCAATGGCGGTGTTACTGAGAAAAAGAAAAAAAAGAAGAGGATTAGTGTGTATTTATCTTTTGATGGGAGCACAAAATGCTTAATACATGACTCAAATTTTTGGTAATATTTCGAACAATCTTCACTTGAAATATGATGATTATAACTCAGTTGGAAGCAGGTTATTTATAAATAGGAAAATTTCAAACCCATGTTAGCTTATTTTTAAATTTACTAATGTTGTGCAAATTTTGGTACTAATGTTATGAGGCATCATCAATCAATACATCGAAGTTGTGCATGCATTTGAGATAGAGGCGGTGTGATGAATTTAGCAATTTCCTATTATTAAACTTTATTTTGTATTAATTGTAGTAAAATACGTAAAATTTCTTTCTAGACAATTAAGGAGCAGTATATAATACGGATGACAAATTAAAGAATAATCAGTAGTTCATTATTATGGGAAGAAGAAATAAACATATAATTTTTTTTTTAAAAAAAAAAAGAAGAAGAAGAAGAAGAAGTCTTCACTTCACTCCTCATAATAGAGAGGAGGAGCAAGGGACTTGTTGCAGATAATATCTAATCAAATTATCATCTCTCAAGCAGTAATAGGAGTTGATCGACTCCAAGAAAATAATAGCCACAATATGAGTTTGATGAGATAAATAAGTAGTATTAAAGTATGTTATAGGAATTGTGACAGCAACAAGATGTAGCAAGCAACCTTCCATAAACTGCTGCAAGTATAAGCAACGGTTACGTCAAGAAGCATTTGCAAAAGCGATCATGTATGAGAACATCAGATGGATTGCAATCTGCAGCAGAGTACTCCTTATCCATCTTTTAATCCGTGCCTGGTCCAAATTAATCTCTTTTGTTTACTAATCCGTACTGGTTCAGGAGGTGTATCCATTACCCAGAAACTTTTCTATCCATTCTCGCCATCTAAAATTAAACAACTAATAGTAGTGTTAAAGGCAAGGCAATAATGCTAGCTTATTGAGGTGATTAAAAAGGTCAGTAAGTACAATAGCAAAGTGCCAGTTTGATGCGTGCTTGAGAATTATTTTATACATCTGGCTGGCCTTTTGTTTAACCCTGCCAGATAGAGTTGGAGCCGTGACCATCTTCCGGAAGCTCACCATATTCTTGAGAATTATATATATACATATATATACACGTATGTATGTATGTTTGTATATGTGTAGCTCAATCATCTATACTATACCTACCATATATACATAAATACGATGAATTCGCATGATATGGGGTTGGGTAGAACGTTTTGTGTGTTTAATTGGGCAGCATAAGTTTTTCTACTCTTGCGCTACTGCTGATCTGCGAGAAGCTATTTTTTACTCCTGTATGGCATCTCTCCAGCAATGGAGTATTCAATAGCAGAGATGCCCTTCACCTGTTTCTTGCGCAGTACTTTAATTCAACAGAGAGTTAACCTGAACATGATCAACAGATTAAGCATCGGGATGAACTTTATCAGCAATTTAAAAGTCCTTGAAGAATCTGGATGTTCGTTTGTTCAACATCATACCTAACTAACTTTCTCTTCATTAAATTAAGCTAGAGCGCTTAGAAAATTTAGGATGGGAATCTACAGTGGTGTAGAATGGTCATGATTCATGAGGACTAAACAGCTGGCTATTAATTAATCTGGCTGATTGCTCAAATCACCATGAGGCCGACAAGCAAAAGCAATTTATTGATAGCCCTAGTCTCCTAATCCATACACAGAAAAAGGAAGCAAATGTTTGATTAATTTCTCCTTTTACACTACTGCTATTATCTCATCCTCTGGCATATATTTCTCTCCCAGGTCAAGGGATTAATATACAACGCCATTGACCTACAGACGCGTCGATGGTGATAAGATATCATATGGCCTTCCATGCACTTTATAGTATGCAACTTGGCGTCCACCTCGGCATATTCCAGTGTCACCTAGCTAATTCATTGAAACCAACGCAAGAATATTCTCTCTGTTTGATTTTTCCACACTCTAGTTTAGCTTAGCTACTGACTATACTGTACATGGCTTTTAAACTTCACTTCTATACTTATTATGACGAAAGTGAAAATGGCCCGAATGAATATTCTAGTGTTGTTTATTGGATGAACTGCAAGTAGCTTTCATGTGAAAGATATATACTGTCACTAAATAAAGGTTCATAGCGGATATAAGAGTTCAACTGCCTCCTTAATTATCATTATTATTATTTTTTTTCTCTTTTTGGTACAAAGTTGTGTAGGAGTAGTAAATTACTTTACGTATAGCGTACGTAATAACAAGTTAGTAAATTACTTTTGGAAGTAATGGAGAATATAATACGGCAGCGCAGCCTACACCACGGAGCATGTCGCTTTTAAGAGTTGTGAAACTTATGAGAATAACAACAATCCGAAGAAAAATTTTCATCAAACTTGCGAGAGAAGTTGTAGTAAGGAGGCTTTATGACTATTTAGTTAAAAGCAATTTCATAGCTAAAACAAAATGTTAGGTTAAAAAAAAGTATATGAAAGAGTTTGCTTTGAGTCCCTACGAATATTTATTTCGATTTAAGTCCTTTCCCCCCGACAAATATTTGTTCTCTGAGAAAGGAAATAGTGAACGAATTGATCATGAACTATGATATTTTAATACCCTTTTCCCCCTCTAAGAAGATATTAGTCGTATATAAAATACAATTTTCATAATAAATGCAAGTCCTTCTAATATTTGTTTGAGAATATAAATTCTTGTTGTGACCAAAAAAATAGATTTTGGTTAAAATTATTAGCAAAAGTAATAAAATGATTTTGTTGATAAATTCGAGTAATTAAATATTTCACAATTAGGAAACTGGATTTATTATCATAAACTAGATTTTCTAATAAAATCAGTCGGTTTAAACTAGGATCATGAGCAAGTGCATAAATATGCTCCTGAAAGATAAGTAAATATAGAAAACCGTGTTGTTGAGATCTATCAATATATAAATATCTTTAGATTTCCTCCATTTGATTTAAATTTGAACCAAAGGTAGAAGATTTGGAGGTTAGCAAATGGTACATAATGCGACGCAGTCAAAACAAAGTATTTTAGAAATAAAAGATGGTATTACTTTCTCTGTTTTTTTTTTTATTGGCAGGTTGCTATAACTAGCACTGAATTTGGGTTTAAATTATTTGTTAATCGTATACTCTGTTAATAACAACAATGACAAAATTTTTTTTTAAAAAAAAAACAGACAAAATTCACCCAATATTTTGTAGAAGTGACGAAAGGGATAACTTGGACGCTAATTGTAATTTCTTGGGGGCAATATTAATCAATATTAAAAGAGTGTTAGGCGCATCCTTGCTAGCTTTGAGATGGTGTTGTCAATTCGAGACATACAACTGATTTCACAGATCAACGTAACAAAGTGATTAGTCTACTAATTAATATTGGAAAAAGTTTTGGTTGGGCCATCACTATCTCATTTCTAGATGTTTAACGTCAAACTTTGGGCGGCAGAAGCTGGTGATTTTGGCCCTCACTTTAGTAGGAGTAGCAAATTTCACATGATTAGACTTCTTTTCATCTGTCTTTTGCATGCACCTGGACTACCTGCATCTTTCTTCTCCTCGTTAAGAGGTACCAGCAGAAAAGTACTATTCTGATGCCCATCTGTTCGGGCACCAAAGAAGAAAGAAACAAAACACAGAATATAGTGGGATTGAAAGCGAACTACCCTAAGAAGCAATCAAGGAGTTTAGATATATGATTACATTCATACAGGTTCATATCAGCTGAGCTTTAAGTTGTCCTATTTGATTGAATTAACAAATAATTGAGCTTCGGAATCACCGACGCGATCTTCTTCTAGCAGATTCCACGCTCATTGTAATTGTTAGTTCAAGCAAGCATATATTTCACTTCTTTACGTTGTTGGATTCTACCCAGAAAACAAAAAAGGGAAAACATTGAGATATCTATGAAGAAGAAGAGGGAATTGGTTTAGGCCAAGTAGTAGTGTAATAAATTAAAGCTTTGCTTAACGGAGAAAAGAGAGACAGAGAGAGTCAGAGCTTTGAAATCTCAGCAACGAGAAGGGTAAGGGTGAATAATGGTTTGTATTACGAAGTCATGATGACAAATAGGCAAATTCCAATCTGTCTTGGACCAAAAATAACTGGGCGGCAAAGATGGTTCCAAAATAATACATTCAACTCCGCTTGACCAAGTTTGCAACCAAGATAATTACTGGGGTTAGCCCATTGATTAGGGCAGTCTTGTAGAGTTCTTCCTACCGTAGGTTTAGGACTCGAATCTTGTAACGAGTAGTAGTATTAAAAAAAAAAAAATCAGTCTCGCCTTCATTCGTTTAAACTTTATTGATTTCTTTGTTGGGTTTAAATTTCACTGTGAAGATTTTTTTTAGTATAAATGGAAGGATTCATATTCGAACATTTCACTTACACTCCCTTTCTTCAAATCACTCTACCCATCCCCCCTCACTACGAGGTTTGTATTTACAATATTTTATACTTTAAGCCCTACAATTTCACAAGACGTTACAATTTCAGGCTATGGCCTAAAAAAAATTACCTTCTCTCTGGGGCCTAGAACGCAGAATCAAGGGCCATATATGGGAAGCACTCCTCCCGGGTCCTCCTCAGAAAATGCAACTTCTTATATATATATATATATATATATATAGGGCAAACTAATGCTAATATATTCCATAACATAAGCCAGTTAAGAGTTCACATGCCGTGGGAAGGCAACTCCTACCAAATCGAATACCAGAATATTACAAATACTGTAGGAAGGCCTATCGAGAATGAAAAGCAGCTGCTACATTAGCTTCCATGCATATGCCGAACTTGGAGTTGGGGATCCATCTTACCAAGTACCTGCAGTCAAATAAGAGGGGGCCCAGATTTTCACGATTGTTAGTAACAAGATCAATAGCCGCTTTTGGACCTAATTCAATTGGGATGGGGAGATATGTATACATGTATATATATATATATATATATATATATATATGTATATGTGTATATGTAAATACGTACATATTTTTTTAAAAGAAATAGGTTCTTCAATGAAGTAGCCGAACTTTTCATCTTAGGCAAACACAACTGCGGACTCCATGGCAAAATATATGTTCATATTTTTTAACAGAAATGGGTTCTTCAATGAAATTGTCGAACTTTTCATCTTAATTCTTACGTAGTTAAGAACTTGAGAAAGATCTCTTTCTTGAATGTTTTTTTTTGTGACCAGAAAGCATATTTACTATGTGACCTATTTTTTACATGGAGAATAGAAAGGAAGAAAATTGAACTTCCACCGTGAATTTCACAACCCATATTTGATGAGAATGAAGAAGAGAAACTGCTAAAAGGTTCTTAAATAATTTGTTTAAACCAAATATATCCCATGCATCAGGAAAAGGTGTTCAAGCTGTCCCATTACATTTCTTATCTAATCTTGATTACTCATATTCTTGAACATCACAACAATAGGATGTAAAAGCCACGATTTTATTTCACCAAGAAATCTTACATTAGATCATCTTCTTCAATTGCTTGCGAACTTCAGTTGATCAAATCCCATGCATTTATTCCCCTGGTTTCAGGTGAACGTTGTTGTCGATCAACGGCCGCCCACCAGTACCACCATCGTTATCATCTTTGGTCTCAATATCCATGCAATGACACCATTCCAGCGGAGTGAAAAACGCGGCTTTAACCACCTTAATCAGTCGTGCCGCCAACCACTCAATAAATTTTATCACAGGAGGGCAGCAACCTGCAATTGTTTTCTTCTGATCACTACAAGATTCGGTCAGCCTATTCTTGCAGCAGAACAAGTTCATCCCGCGGCTGCACCCGCCACCAGTGCTGGCATTTTTCTCCATGTATCTTACTTAATGTTTAGATGAAGACGAAGACGAAAGATCCTGGCCTTCGCGACTCCAAGAGTAGCCAAATTAATTAAATGACGTAGAAGTAATTTAACGAGGCAGTTTCCATATGCTCATGTTTCTTCTGGACAAAGTTATTTTTTGCTTTTCAAGTTAAAATTCATTTTAGAGGCGTGTCATTGAAATTATCGGTGAATAGCGTGACTGTTATAACACACCGCTAATCTTGGAGCTTAAATTTGCAATTACTGGAGTTTAAATCATAATAGGGGTATTATCTTGCTCTTGTGACCAAAACGTCATAATTTCTACAAGTGCATGCGTAAGTGATTCAGTGTATCCAAGAAGATGTATTAAACTGACTGGAAGGGGCAAAAAAAACACTAGAGAACTCATGGAATATAATTTAGAGTCATGTGAGGTCCTTTTCTTTTATGCTGGTGTATACACACTGGCATGATTCGTTTCTAAATACCCTATTCGTGATCTTAGTAATAATCAGACCAAAAGGGTTAACGACTCCAAAAATAACCAAGAAGAGACGGCCTCAAGTTAAGGATAGCCCATGGAATGGAGTCAATCAAAGATTCTGTATATATTTCCTTATGAAATTTGTTATGGTTACAGGACAAGATGGAATCGAAGTTTCAAAAAGTTAAAACATAGCTTCGAAGCCATCCTGGGTCCTGGATCACGCAAAACTAATTAAAGAATCTCGTAACAGTAAAGACTAAGCATTTTACTCATCTTTTAGATTCTCTTTCATCAAAATGTTCCTAATAGACAAGAACAGTAGGACCACCATAGATCATGTTATGAAATTAGATACACCGTCATTCTTTGCATACGTACTTTTTAAGTGACTTTTTACACCATGCAAGAAAAACTTATTCCAAGTAAAATCTTGAAAAATGTCAAAAAAAAAAAGAAGAAGAATTCTTGAAGAGTGCATAAGAAACATGTTAGTATAGCCTTCGCCCGTAGTGGGGAGGAGGGGTCTTGCTAGGATGAAACTATAAGTGGAATAGAAAAGTAGATGGATCATGGACGACGAATGGAGCTGGCAACCAGTGGCTGGGCTGAAACAAAAAAGGTCTGTTATTGTGTGGATCAAGTACAAACTATTTTCTTTCGTTTATATTGGAAAAATCAGAAAACTCATGGAATGTACTTTATAGAGTCATATGAGGTCCTTTTCGTTTATACTGGTTTTGTATAGTGTTATTAAAGTCTCCATACATGATCTTAAGAGGTGGACCATGCTACGTAGATGGAGAGGTTAATCACTCTGTAAGTAACGAATAAGAGACGGGCCTTGTGGATGGATTGGGTGATTTTGGGAGAGGAGTATGAGTAAGAAGTATCGGTTTCGAGTCGTTCCATTTACACTAAAGAGAAAAAAAAAAAAAAAAGAAGAGAGAAATGGCCTTAAGGAAGGGATAACACATGGAATTGAGTCGATCAAAGATATTTTGTATATATTCCTGATGCAATTTGGTCTAGTTACAAGATAAGTCACGGAACGTAAATGAAGAATTACAGTAAAAATTAAGAGGTTGTTTAAATTGTAATTTGTCAATATCTTTTGAAAAAAATTATTATAATAGCAATGTGATATATATGAAATTACTATAATACTTTTTGAGAATGTGATATATATGAAATGAACAAGTGATTGAAAAATGTATAAGAGAAATATTGATGAAGAAATGTAAAGCTTTTTAACAAAAAATAGCAATCCAAACAAGGGCTAATCTTTTAGATGGTCTTTCATCAAAATGTTCCCTATAGACTGGACAGTGCATAGATGATGCAATGAAATTCGATACACAATCATTCTTTACACCTATGTTCTTTAAGTGAATTTAACACCTATGCGCTAAGAAAATTACGAATAAAAATCTTGCAAAGCGTATATAGTTATCGTAAGTTTGTAACTTGCTGGTATAAAAGTGGAATATATTATGTTGAAATTTCAGGAATTAAAGGTTTGGGTTCAAATTCACCTTCCCCTTTCCTGCATCTTAAATCCTACCCTTCTCTTGCTAAGAAAAAAAAAATAAAATTAAAAGGGAAAAGTGGAGCATATGGATCATGGATTACAGATAACAGTGACAGATTGGAGCTAGCAACCAGTGGGCTGGGCTCAAAGAAGAAAAGTTTGTTACGATGCAGATCAACCACAGCAGATCTGTGAAAATGTGGAAGGACTATATCTCGAAAGGCTTGCGGTACAAAAATGGCGTCCTTGGGCTTTCCTTAGCAGGTCCAGTATATGCCCCACATCCCCAACAACACGCTGCATAATCGTTAATCCAATAACAATTTTTTGTATATCAGCACAGTGAGTGTTTTCTTCTTTCTTATGGAGAAAGACAGACCACCTACTTAAATTAAATCATAAACTTTATACGAGTAGAAAGAAAGAAGAATTCTATTTAGTTTATGCAAAAGGTTTTTCGTTTCTCTTTTTTTTTTTTTTTTTCCAACTTAAAAACGTTGTTGGATAAAATTTCGCAGATTTCCATCAATCGCAGAACACACTGTGATCGTAGACGACAATAACTGAACGCTAACCCCATGGCCCAACTCCTTTACACATGTAAGAATCTTCAAGGGTCCCTTATATCAATCAATCCAGAACGCTTTACGACCATATTTATGCAGAGAGTTGAATACTGAGAACGAAGCATTGATTAAAGGAGACAACGATATCACAGAGTGTGGTTTTCCGATCAATGTAAGCTCGTATTCACACTTGATTTTGTATGATATATTATGAGTTTTTGACTGTAAAACTAGTCTAAAGCTTAAGGATAAAAGACGTGTGGATACGGGCGCCATTAGTCTTCTTAACAATTCAGCTCCTCCCAACTTTATTGTATTGTTTTGGGAGGAGTATGCTTTGTATACTTTTTTTTTTTGTTAAGGGTCAATCCTTCTTATATCGTCAGTATATATGCACGCTGACAAGTTTAAATACGTGTTATATTATTTTAATTCAAATTTATATATCAAAATTTACACGTAGCGTGCATGCATTTAGACTCGTAATCACATGCACTGACAATACATAAAAGATTTATCATTTTCTTATATGATAAAGAACGTTGAAAGAAGCGCTGTTAATATTTGCAAGTGCTAATACAAGCTCCCTTTTGTTTTGTCATCCCTTCTTTGGGTTAGAAATACGAGCTCCCTTTTGACGGACGGTATGTATGAAAATATGCATGTTACAACGCCCTATCTTCAGCATTTCTTTGTGTACATTTCCTCTAGAGCCCAAAAAATCTGATGGTTACTGTCACGTGAATAAACATCTCAATAATATTATATATGGTCAGCGATGCAAGGTACCAGGTCCTACCAATATGGATGAAGCTTTGAGAAATGCATGGAGACATGAATATTTATTGGCTCATCTAAAGTCAAAGAAAGAACAACACAAAGGCATTTTATAAACGGCAATGCGACCCGGAATCTGATTATATTAAAAGAAGGTCCCTTATAGACGTGGTATCTGATGTGGGTTTGAATTTTCTTCTCAAGAAGCGAGGGGACGTCCACTAGATTTCAATCCAGATCGTGGGTTTCATGATGTCAGGTGCATCAAGTCAATCAGCCCAATCCCTTAAAATTAAATTAAGCAAAGCTTGGAATTTTAAGGAATGTTCCATGTGCCGCTAGTCTTCCTATCTTCGTCTCTGAGTAACCCTATCTACTAGGAGTACGCGCTTAATTCATTCTTCTATTGCTGACTTGTCTCCTGTTTTATATCGATTGGTCCGAAGTTGCGGATGACGTTCCCAGTGTTTCAGACTCCTAACTACCTTGTTACTTTTTTTTTTTTTTTTCGGATAATTTAAGTACTTAAAATGACATATTCGGCCCTAATATAGTGAAGAGTTGGCAACAAAGGATCGGCCCGTAAATACTCCCTTCGTCTCACTTTTATAGTCCTTTTTTTTCACCTGTCCCAAATTATAGACTACTTTTCATTTGAAGAATATAATTATCTTTTAATTTCTCTAAAATACTCATATTAAATGTAGGTTGTTATTAGTATAAATTATCTTATTTAATATATATTATTATTGAATATAACCTACCCCATTTAACACATGTGGATTTTCCAAAATATATTAATGTATGAATAAGGATTGATTCTTTCTTGACCATCAATTCAAGTTCCCATAAACTATCAATTCAAGTTTCCATAAATAATTAATATAAAGTCGTACTCTATTTAATTTAAGGGTATTTTAAAAAAATAGCAACTTACATTTGTTTTCCAATAAAGTTAACTAAATTTTTAAAATTGTGTGAAAAAAAAACTATGGCTATTAAAATGAAATGTAGGGAGTATATGGGATTGGAGAAGTCCGGATTCAACCATCACCAAGTGAACTTCTAGAAAATTCTGGAGAAAAGTGCAAGTCAAAAAATTTGATTCCTTGACTTGAACCAGACTCTCTCTGTGGCCAACTACTCCAAAAATAGTTGGTTCAACCAATCTCTGTTTAGTTCATTAACAGAGCTACATGCGGTTGCACTTCCAGCTTGGGCAATCTTGTGTCCATAAATTATGCAGGGATCCCATTTCATAACAGACCAGTGGCACCATTTGATTCAACCTCAACATCGGAAAATTCAATGATAGGATGCCTGCATTTCGTGGTATAATTTTGTACATGCGAACCTCAGGAAATCAGATTCCACAATGGCCAAATCTTGTAAAGATGTTGGGTTATTTTCTAATTTCACCGCGAGAAAATGCACTTTGTCAAAATTATGCTTTTTTCAGCCGAAAGGGTTTAAAACAAGAAGATCTTTTGACTTCATCAGTTCGAGAACTGGGCCTCTGAAGTTTGAACGCAGTGCCCCGGTTTCACAAACACCTGCGATTCTCTGTTGATAGCTTTCCAATTTCGTCTATTCAAATCTCTCTCTTTCTTTTTTTTTTTTTTCACTTTGTTCTCCACTTTATTCCCTTAACAATCCTCGTTTCTTTTTTGGGTCAACAGTCATGTTGATAACGATAAATCTACATGCTTTCTACCATCCATCAGCGCCGAGCAGGCAACAAAGATTAGAATTAGCACAAGTTGCAGCACATGCATTTCTAGTCTTTTAACTGTCGGCAACTTGGCATGCCAGCCCGGCTTTAGACCTATTCTATTCTGATGATTATTTTTTGTTGCAATACCTTGGCCAATGTCAGCTAGAATCTTTTAAGAAGAAAGTTGTTGTCATGTGAAGTCATGAGTATTACCATATGATATTCTGCAGAATCTATCTATCTATCTATCTATGTATGATCTTTGAATGAATTCGTTAATCAAGAACCCGTAGTACTTTCGAGGCCTTAATTGGTGCTTTGATTTGATAACGACGCCATTCATTAGCGGTAACTTGCGTGATGGACTAATATTCATCTTTTTTGTCTGCGTACGCTGACCACTATTCACTACCGGTAATTTTCAACTTTAGTGATGTTTTATCTCTCACAAATGAAAAGGCCAACAAGACATCCCAAAAGCCAAAAGCCAAAAAAAAGAAGAAGCATACTCTTCAAGCCTATCAGATCTCAGTATTCACATCAAAATGGGCCATCCATAGAAAATTTGAAATGGATCGTGGAGAGCTTTGTTAGGGGAAATGCGTGGATTGTGCGACATTCCAAAATACACGTCCTCCTAAAGTACCGTATAAAAGTAATACGTGTTATGTGCATTAATTGTGGGAGGATTGATGTTTTAACATTTCAAACACGTACCTTGAAATTGCGTCTAATGCTATATGGCAATCCGTTTCCAAATCGTGCGGTCGTTATCCCCTTCTGGAAAGCGGACTTTAATTCAAAGAGATTTTTTTGAAAATTCAATTTAGATTTTTTTGAAAATTTTTAATTTGATTTCTAGTTTAGAGTAAAACTGCAAACGAGTAGGGTCGAGTTTTAAACTATCGAGTCGAGTTGGACTTGTCAATATGCGAGTTCAAGTTCGAATTCGAACACGTCGAGTCAAAAAATTAAAACTCGAGCTCGATTCAATTTAGGAAAGAGAAAATTCAAACTCGACTCGTTTCTGACTCGTGAGTTTGACTAGATTTCTGGCTTGCGAGGAACTCGAAATCAACTCGATTTTAATCGATGTAAAGGTATTTTTGTAATTTTATATCAACTCGAACTCTTCAAGTGACTCGTCGAGCAATTGAGCCTAACAAATGGCTGCTCGAGTTCGACTCGTATATATTAACTCTCGGCTCGAGCTCAGTATAGATCGACCTAGAGTCGAGCTCTGACTCAAGCTGTTCGAGCTCGCGAGCGGCTTGAGTCGATTGCAGCCCTAGTTTGAAGAACAACAGGTACTGCTGTGCTCTTTTTAATCCCTACCACAAAGATGAATGAACGTAAAACGCCCAAACAGACGAGCAAAACCTGGTCGATTTTTTACGTGTTGCAAACGTCAGGAGTGTGATCACAACAACGACATCTTTTTTTCGATTCCAATCCGTGCCTATAGTCCACAGGCTGGATCAAATAAATAACCTCAGACATAGATCGAGATTTTTCGTGCTGCAGATGTTGGACACAGACACGCACACGGACTTGACTCGTTTTAAGCTATCTTAAAGTTTATCGTCGGAGTGCTAAACAAACTGCTAGTAATTTATCGTAATGTCATGCTATAAATCGCGTAAAGATGGAACGACTGATCAGATTTTGGGATTGCGTTTTGAAATTGTGTTATGCAATGATGAAATCTCCGACCCCAGCAGCTTCAGAAACGGAGATGAAGGACTAATTGGTCAACGGCCGAGATTAATGATGCACCAGGTAGAAATTAGAAATTTCCCCATAATTAAGTGGTTATAGTCTATCATCCACATAAGTAGCTACCATGCATGACGAAAAAAGGTCTGCAGCAGCCTAATATTTCTTGGTCATCCTCAACGTGACATCATGAGTTAAACCAAAGATCCAGCACAGCCACCATCCCCAGGAAACGAGTAAAAGCTTTTCCAGGACATTCTAGAACGTGACTGTCAACCAAAGGTTTTCAAAAGCCATTGGACTACATCAACATGCAACGTTTATTTCTTGTCCTTGTCGATTTCCTCTGTAAATTGAGGATCAAAAAAAACCCGAGCAACACGCCATGAATAGAAGCCAAGAAACTGAACCGTACTTTGTCGAGTAAAACACACAACGGGTCTTTTGTCTCACGCCCTGTGCCATTCTCTGTCTCATTTTTTATTATATTATTATTTTTCCTTCATAAACATATAGTTCTTTTTTGTTTCATTAAGATCTAATAACTATTAATTCAGTAATAAATAAATACAACAGCTTCAAAAAAGTAATATATAATAGAAAATTAAAAAATACAACAGAAAATTCATAAACAATCTCATTTTTTATGCATTTTGATTTTTTGAGTTTGTTAAATTTTGTATATTACTGAATTAATAGTTATTGGATCTTAAGGAAATAAAAAAGAACTAAAACATGACGTTTATGAAGGAGAAATAGCAATATAATAAAAAATGGGATAGAGAATAGCACAGGATTAGAATGTGGGACAGAAGATCCGTTGCGAGTAAAACATGCTATATACCATCTCACGTCTAAAATCTTGAAAAATAAGAAATAAAAAAAAAACATGGCACATTAATTAAGGAATTTTATAAACTTTTTTTTTTAAAACGAAAATGAAATTTATAAGAGTAACCCCTCCAAATACGTCACCTGAGGAAGTGTTACAAAAATATAAGTTGCCAATGACACGAGTTGCGTGGTGGAACGAAGTGAGTATTGGTAATTTCGTCGTTGCATTACTGAAAGTTCCGTCTTCACGAGAGCCACTCCCATTTATTGCATAGTCATAATCAAACATCAAATCCATAGTTAAACATCGATTATTGAATTTATTCTAATAATTTTTTTTTTTTTTTTTTTTTGTGTGGAAGGTTTCATCTCCCATGCATTTGTTTAGGAACCACCATAGAAATATGTGAAGGTGGCACTGTTGTACTATTGGTACGATTTGCAAAGCCGGTAGCACCACGAGCCTAATAGGAGACTGCCGCCACGGGGACATCTCTCTAATACCGACGGGCTACGAGTGTGTGTGTGGGTATGTATTTATAAAATTGGAGTGATCTTTGGTGATATGAGCTAACCTTGACTATCAAATTGTTAATCCCTCGTGAATACAACAAACACCAAATCACTCTTTCAGGGAGGAGATTTGGCCGAGCCTTTTGTCATGTACCTTCATTCTCTATTTGACTCTGGTCAGCTACCACCTTTATTCTTACGCCAATTTGCGACAAACAAAGCCATCATTAGGAATGAATTTGGATTTTTAACTGTTTTCTGACTTGTTTTTCCCCCCTTGTCATTTCTGTGGTCGTCTAGAATTTCTGTTTCTCCAATTTATTTATTTTCCTTCTTTTCACTATTTTGTTCGGCGGCATTAAAAGTCTCCCTTTTACTCTTCCAAGTTCACACCCACCTTTCAGCGTTGGCCTTCAATCATCAATCGCTATATATATTCAGGCTATTTCAGACCCTTTCTCAGCGCGTCTTTAAGAACTCTCACTAGCAAGTTACCACCAACTATACTACTTATTTTGAAGCGAGCAAAAACATGGCTACGTTTGTATCCTTCTTCACAGTAGCCCTTCTTTTCAGCTTGCTGTCACTATCTTTTGCTGGTCGTCCTGAGCCGGCTTTTGTTGATGCCACCCTGATGAAAACTCAGCAACACGTAAGTGTCTAATTCTCTGTTCCCCTGTTTTTCAAGTTTTCACCTCTGCAGACATGCTGAGATGGTCTTTATGCTCATCTTTTTTTCTGATGGGGTGCTCGTATTCGATTTATTTCTGCAGGAAGTAGAAGCAAAGCAAGCAGAGATGGAAGAAACCTGCGGAGGAGTTGGGGAGGAAGAATGTTTGATGAGGAGGACTCTTGCTGCTCATCTTGATTACATCTATACCCAGAATCATAAGCCGTAGTAATTCAAGGAAAGACATTTTTGGTTGTTACATATAGGCAAATAGCTGCTTGTACAACTTCTATGATCATGCAAACTTCGATTCCAGTGACCTGAAAAACATGTGATCATTAGACGTGATTGACTTGGCTCAAGTATAATCTTGTTTTGCTAGTTAATTTCTGACCACTGCTATTAAAAACTGCCTGTTTAGTGCTTGGTGCCTGGATTTCTGAACAGACTCATGTACTCAGGATGCGTTAAATTCCTTAGGATCTCTCAGTTTCTTTCTCTTTTTGTGGATAGAAATGAGGAATAATATCTCTTTCTTCGTATGCGAAGCACCTGTAATTACAGTCTTTCATCCATTGCAGCAATTTCTTCTCTTTGCTGACTGTATTTTTAGCAGGAATGATCGGTTTCCTGAAATATACAATCTCTCCGCTTCTGGTTGCCTTTGATACGTTTATACACCGCGACCTAAAAGAACTACCAAAGACGATGATGATGTTCCCGGTGAAAAAAAATGACCTACTCGAAAAGAGAAGAGAAAAAAATAAATAAATAGCAAGTTAGTTACCAACAAAAAAAAAAAAGGAGGTCGGTAAAGCAGTAAGAGGGCTGACGCTGAAGACTCCAGTTCCGTGTGGTTGACTTAGATTCAAAAGTCAATTAAACGGGAATAAAAAAACGTTCGACCAAACACATACACCGTAGCCAGTAGCCTCCGGGGGCATAACCTGTAACTCAATGTACTTTAACAGAGACGCCTTGCTATACTATATAATCAAGTTGAGTACTTTAGTATTTCATTCGGTTTCAGAGTCCGCCCAAAGCAACAATTAATGAAAGCTCACGGGTCAACTAAAGGAATATTTATGATTACCGAATAGTAATCACACGTAATTGCATATTTATGGATCCTCATCTACACCAGTGATCCGTTGTTCCAAGGTGGCTTCGTACTTTTTCTGCGATAGGGATCACAGCACTGGAAGCAAATTGTACAGAAGAAAGGAACATTTTATCTGTTTGTTCATTTTCAGAATTTAATGGAAACAACTACATTTTTAGATTTCAGGCGGGGGAAATAAAGCAAGTACCCAAGGTCACAGGTTGATGTTGATGAGGTTGGTTGACAGTTGAGACATTATTATTATTGTTACTCCAACCTAGTAATGAGTAATGACCATTACCATACTACTGGTTACTACTATTAAATGGTTGCAGTAATAAATATTAGCGCAATAAAAATTTCTCCGAATCGCAGCCGTTAGTTCCACGAGAACAATTCATTCATTTCACCTCATCATACATTTAGCCTAAACCTTGCGGCTTACAATGCGAATAGAAGGATTTGGGTATGTTCTGGGAGGTGGTCCTGAACCTAAATGAAATGTTGTCTCTGCAACAGCGGCCTGGCCGGCAGCATGCACTGATATCTTATCTTCACGCACAGCGGAGCTCTCCCTCCTCTGATGCAGATTAGATAACTCGTCAGTGTGTATGTTGCATGTCCCATTATTACTCATTTATCACCAATTTCATTTACATCATGAAATTTGGATCTGTTTCGGTGTACATGCCAATTGGATTCTAAGTAGTCCAGTTGCAGACCTATCATCTTCGACATTAAATTCTCCTGAAACAGCAGTAGTCAAAGTTGCTCCTTTTTTTTTTTTTTTTTTTGGTTTTGGGGGGGGGGGGGGGGGGTTTGGATTAGGAGATGGAAGTATTGGAAACATGGTGCGGCCATTGCAGAAACATTGCCCTAATAATCCAACGGTTTGCATGGGAGAATGCAAGTAGTAGTAGTACATGTGAAAGCCCAGCCACCAACCCAGATTCGTCAAATGATAGTTTACAACGTTTCCTGCAATCGGTCCAAGTTGAATCATCAAATGACTGCTTGCCGCTTCAACTAATAATGCTTTGGTGGGTATCATTCCATTAGTTTAATTATTCTATGGAGGGGTGCCACTGCCTATATTTACTCATTGTCCACCTTATTCTCGGTTTAATTACGAAAAGATAAATAAAATCGGGTGAAGTGGGAATCTGTCAACCCACTCTTGGCAGCAATTCTTGTCACAACATTGAAAGCCGAAGTCCCTTTAGCGAAAGCGTCTATGAACATGAATTTCTTCCACTCCCAATGCATATGAGAATTTCATTCTATGACTAGGAGATTTACTATGATTCTATGACTAGAATCTAATTTGCTGCTATTGTGGCAAGCTATTTTTTTCATTAAATTAAAAAAAAATGATGACAACAATATCTAGCCCAATAGTATTCCTTGTTTAAAGTTTTAAGTAAGAGTCATGTAATGTAATGGGAGATTAGGTGTATGTTCCCCTTCAATTTTAATTTTTTACTTTAATAAAATTTGGCTGGCATCTCACCCCCCCTTCCCCCCCCCCTATTAGGGTATGCTGGAAAAAAAATCTACCAACTCACATATTTTACCCCATTTAATGCGTGCGACACTACATCATCTAAAAGGAGAGAAAAAAAAAAAAAGAAAAAGGCCTAAGTTTGTAATTTTCCACTCTCTCTCCTTTCTTCTCATTTCATTCGATACACTTACTTTTTTTGGCAACCTCAGCCAAATAATGCATGTGTGCCACAAACGCTAGTCACAATAATAAAAGAAAGACACATGTAGGATAAATAATTCGAGCAAGATGACAAAATTACGAACATAAACGATTGGACTGAAGTTACGAAGCCCATTTGTAAAGAGTATTGGGCCGGTGATCAAAAAAAATATGTGATGGCCCGAATTATCAACAGCGTCAGGAGTCAGAGAGGAACTTTCTGAAATCTGCAGAGGAGTAGGAAGACGGAGTCTCCTTTCGGCTTGGAAGTGTTGATCCAAAGCCTGATAAATGTTCGGGAGAAGGAGGTTTTTGTCGTTTCCTTTGGTTATCGGAGCTGTTGTGTAAGCTTCCATGCCTTGTTCTTATTTTTTCTTGAATTTGTGTATGTCTATGTGTAGATTTGCTTGAGTGCTCCCCTGCTATGTGAATTGGCTGCGATTCAAGATTGGAAATTTTTATGCCTTTTCTTCCCCTGAATGCTTCTGAACGAGTCATAGCTATTTAATTTCAAGCCAGTGAAAATTTTGTTGCTTTTATTATGGCATGAAGTTTCGAGGTATGGTGTTGTGCCCAAAAATTCGTAGAATAAACAAATGCTAACTGTGGTTATTATTGGAGAATGATGGTTAAATTCACAGTATTAATTGGGAGAGGTTAGACTTCATGAGTGAAGTATAGGCACTCTGGCAAGAATAAACTGATTTGCAATGGCACGCTAGCAAGGACAATTTTTCTTGAATTGGAGTTAGATGGTATTGATTAGTGATATTCATGTTGAGAGGCCTCTTTAATTCAGTGTTGTCTCAAATGGTAATGAGGAACTTTAGATAAGTAGCATTACCTATAAAAACTTGGGTTAGTCATGAAAACATCATCCATGCTCTTTGTGGGCATTTACACTGATAAATATCATTCTGATAAATGTAGAAAGGAAATGAGGAGACCATAGGCATTTTGAAGATAGCGAAGAGTAATATGTATTGAATATTGAGAGATTATGTGCTGCTGTTAAAATTTGAGTTTGCATAGTGGAACTGCCTGCTGAATGTCATACCCCTGAACTTTAGTGCTGGTCAATGAAGTGAGACTGGTATGGTTCTTAAAGGCTTGATGCTTGGTATTTGGATGTCAGTGTCACAACATGAACTCGTACAGGTTTTCGGTGCTGTTAGTAATTCCCTCAAGGTTTTAGAATGTTTCTGATATGTGTGGTAAATTGGACAGGCCATACTCAATCGAGGGTGCTGTTGAATTTGTTATACGGGAATACTAGTTGGGATGCATTTATGCGGTTAAAAAGAGTCAATTTGTCATTTGCTTGTCTGGTAGGAAATGCTCCTTTGAAGATACACCTGTGCTTCTAAAATGATTTTGTGAATGGAAACCTTATTTCAGTATCTACGGCTTAACAAGTGTGGTGGAACCAAAGCTGTGCTTCTTGTCCAAGTGTGTTGGTGAAATTCTTAATGCAGGTTTAAATCCTAACAAAAACTTAATATTTTGACTGTATGTTGTGTTGAACAGCCTTCAGATTATTCAGACTTCACCCTCCATTTTGGGTGGAAAGAATGTTGAGAAGTCAGTATTCCTTGAGAATCTTGCTAGATTCAGTTTCTATATGAAGATTTTTTGATATCCTGATTGCCTTTGTTTGACGCTTGGATTGGCTTGCTGCATTTGCTTGGGTGTTTCTCGCTGGCTTCACCTCTGTTTTGACCGATGTCATGTGCATTACATAGCTGTTTTGGTAGACATGTTTGTTGTGACTAAGCCTTTTGCTAAAGCTGTTAATAATTAGCTTTTATGGCACAATCACTGAAAGGGAGAATTCAGCAGTTGTGAAGCATTTTCGGGTAATACAGTAGATGGATGCGAGCAGTGGACAATGTCCTAAGTTGATATTAATCAGAGCCATAGATTCTCTCCCAATGTTGGGGTGACAGAAAGTGGCACAGACCCGACTTCCTAATAGCTGCCATTTATTAGTCTTGATATCCCAGAATGGATGGAGCATCAAGCAAGGTCTCTGTAAAAGTTATGAAGTCACCATCCCGAGGACCTAAACTCTTTCTAGCACTCTAACCTAAAAGTTTAGTCATTTATTCATCAGGTTAACTGATTCTGTAATTCATGCACAATTCAAGTATCTAATATTAATTGCTGAATGATTTGTTCTGCAGGATTGGGGTCGTCTCTGGAAAAGCTATTTTTGGGCCTCCACTTGATGACTACTGGAAGAAGAAACTTAAAGAAGAGGCGGCAGCAAAAGAGAATAAGCAAGCTTCTCATAGCTGATGATATAATCTCCTCAAAAGTATACAAGGCCATGATATTGTGATTCATCCAAGTCTCTTAAGAACTGATAACAGCAACGAATGTTGCCTTCGGAAGGCAGTTTGCCCATCAACTTCTTTTAGGGATACCAGTATCTGCTATCTGGTTATGGTTTTGGCAGACCCGTTCAACTCCAGAAGTTTGTGTTGCAAAATGAATCATGTCATTGGTATCTAGGATTCAAGGTGTTTTATTGTTTTTCATTTGCTTTAAGCTTGATTCTACTATGGCCAAACATATGTAGAAGATTTATATGCAATTGAGGAGTTTCTTAGTGTATCAGAAACGAATTGTACCACACATTTAAGATTATAATATCCAAGTTAACGATTTCAGAAGCTGGCAACAGCTCAATGCTTTCGGCTGACGCCGCTTGCTTCTGTTACAAGCCAAAACTGCATAATGAAATCAAGGTAAGACCAAGTAATTCTCTTGCCTATGTTCACGTAGTTTCCTGAACATAACCGAGTGAAATTTACCCTACGTAGAAAGTAGAGGGAAGATGAACAGTTGATGCAATTGAGATGCAAGCAATATTCTTCCACATATTCACGGCAACTATACGTGCAAGTACAAAGCCCAAGATGAACTCGGGAAAGAATCTAGTGAGCTGCGACCAATACCAAACAAAGGATAACCGATTAATATGTCGGCACCAAAATCCATGGACTACTCAGAATGTGCAAACATAAGCAAAGGCATATGGAAGCAGCGGCAGACTTTCTACTGACGTGTTGAACAACTTCGATCCCCCTATCAATCACCTCATCATGGACAGCATCAATGCTACTTCTCAAACGCTCGGCTATCTTTTCAAGTAGAAATTCCAGAAAAGACCTGACGCTCTCAAACGTCACCCTTCCAGTTACATCAAGGACAAGTTTCCTGTTGTTCGGAACTGCCAAAGTGGAAGACATCTTCCTCGTCCACCCACTGTCTTCATTCTCACAAGATAATTTGCTCGGTTTGGATCCAAACGACATCAATTTTCTCTGAATTAAAGCCTTTTGATCTTTACTAGGGCTCAGTAAAAGTTCGCTAGGTAGGTATTTCGAATCAGGAGCTGCATCCCTACTATGTGCATCAGCCAAAACTTGGTGAGAGCTCCTGACAAGAGTTTCTACGGCGACATTGCACAATGATGACAGCATTTCCTTTACTTTAGATTCATGCTTGGGATTTGTCATCCCAGAAAAGAGTTCATCATAAGGATTGATGCCCATCGTTTTGTCAAGAAAAACAGTAACCGCTGTACTCACGAACATTTGTACACAATCCCCAATCACTTCTCGACATTTATCCTCAAGTAGCACATTGACCCACTTAGCAGTAGAGTTCGATTCATAAATATCATGATCCGCATTTGAGGAACCATTCAATTGCTTATTCGAATAATAAGTCACAACCAAATTCCTCGCAAAGCTGCCGACAACAACAGAGGCAAAACCAGAGCCTGCCTCCGAAAAAAGCTTATCCAATATTCTGTCAGAAAAATCTGATTTTGGACTGATGGAACCGCCACTCCTCAGTTTCTCCTGCCTATTACCACGCAATATTCCCACAGTCAGAGCAGTAGTAATCCTCATCAGAGACTCTGAAATCTCATCTGACCTAGCAATCTTCGATATTTGCCTCAAACTACTGGGAATTTGATCAGAATCAGATTGTATGAACTCTTTTAAATCTCTAGAAACGACACCAACTGCCTCCGCTGAATCAGACACCATCTCAGCTACGGCGACAAGGGCGCCCAAGAGCTTTGACAATCTTTTCCTCTTCTTTACCACAGAAGGCAAGTGATAGAATTTATATGCGCCATAAAATGCACCAAAGGCAAGAACCCACTTCTTCTTCTTCTTAGTATAATCAAAAGCCCACTTCAAGAAATCCAAATCCATACAAATGAAGCCCAATTACTCTCAAAGACAGACTTTTTCGTTGGTCCTCAAGAAAAGTGCACGTTTTTCTGAATTCTCAAGAAATCTAACCAGAAGTGCTAATATGTGTCAAAGGCTCAAATATTGCTTTTCTATGACAATTTTGCAGACATAGTTCCAAGGATGCGTGTATCCACTAATGAGGTGTGTAGTATTATCCATAATTTCAAAGATTTGTACACAAACCTGGGAGGAAAAGTTGAAAAGAAGTTATGATGCAGAGGCAGTTGCAGAGGGACGTAGCTGACGTTGGTTTCTTGCAACGAATAGCAGAAGGGGCCTGTGTGCACGTACTAGTAGCCTGTAAAAGGCCAAATTGAAGCTGATCCACTAGGAATTTTGCATGCCGTTGCCTGATAGGATAACTAAAACCACGACAGCTGTGTCGTTTCTGTATTATGGCCCTCAATTCTATAGGTGGAATGGCTGCAAGATCCGAGTATATGAATACATAATTGGTTATGGATATGGATCATTTATCCTGTTTATCTTTTGTTTTGTACAGGTGAGACTTGAGAGGGATACGGATGATGAATTGTAAATTGATGACCGCGGCCTGCGTATCGTTCGCTTTTGGTCCCAAACAGCTACTTTTCCAACTTCCTGGATTTGATTTGACAAGTCAATCCAGTTATAATTCTTTTGCCAGCAAAGTCGGCTTCTTGCATGCACCGTACTACAGATGTTGTTGCCTCCAATGGATAGGGAACTGGCATTTAACCAAGTGCACCTTATTTTTCAGCCATACCAATAAATGAATAATTCGACGAAGCTAACTCTCTCTTATTTCTCAATTTGTGACAAATGTACTTTAAAGCGTAGTGCGGGGAAACCTGGCAGTTACACTTTTTGCCCTTTCACTTTCGTTGCGTTTCTTTCTTTTCATTTTCTCCAACCGAGGCCCACGAAGGGAAGAATAGTTTTGGTGAAACATTTTCGTCTTGTTTCTCTTTAGTGATCTATCCTCTAGGTTGGAGTTGTCTTGGCCATTCCTATTACATATGTAACTTGCATCTTATTTTTTCGTATCTGAAATCATGGTTTGTTAAAGAATTAGCACTTTATATAAAATACAAAGAGGAAAAGTATAGGAAACGTAGCCCATATCGATTGGAGAAGTATACCGTTTGATTATGAGCGTAAAGGAGAGTCTCACTCTTTAAACTAATTACTTCTGGGACGAAAGACCCAATGGCGCCTAATATTTATAACGGTACACAGTCCTCAATGACACAAGTCCAAATTGTATGTGATGATTAAATGAGTTGAAGGTGAAATATTTTGCTGCATCCCTTCGAATTACTCCCTCAAATTTAATGGTCCATATTCGATACATAACACACAACATACGATACATAATATACACAATTAATTTGTATCATTTTAAAATCACATTTGCAGTTTGATTTGGTTTTGAGTCGCCCCATAACATGCAAGCTAAGCTGGTTGATTTTAAAGTGCTCCACAGAATGACCCGTTAGTCGGTTCCTAAAAGGTTTTTGTTTCAACTTTTGGCCTTTGCCCGGTGAATTTCGCCTCTAAGTTTACATCCTGCTGGTGCCAAAAAAAGGAATAACTCAAAATTAGCCTAAAACAGCCATTCTTGGGATTATGGTCGCTCTTTCAAGAGGCGAGAGTGGGCGGGCATCTGATCAGTAACCGGGCCTCGCGTCGCGAGCAAGGAGCATAAAGAGTATGACGTTGAGCAAAGTATGCTGTGGTCCACCTTTGACCCGGTAAAATACTCCACCTTTGATGATGATACTGATGCTGTGTAGACCCCACAAGGCTTCTAAAAAACAATAATGAGTCTGCTTCGATAGAAATTTATTTGGATGATTTATTTAAAATAATTATTATAATACTTTTTATAATATGATGTATGTGAGATAAAAAAATAATTAGAAAGATAAAAAAGTGATTGAAATTTGTGAAAGAAATTATTTATTTTCAAATCATTTTAATCCAAACACATTTAATGAATTTGTTTTGGATAGGAGTTTATTTGGATGATTTATGAGAGAATAAGACCAATCATCACTCATATATTGCTGATGTCAAAATTTAGTCCCTTAGAACGAAAATGATTAGTTTTAGTTCCTGACAAAGGGCCTGTTTCGAACCTGAGTTTTTTGGAAGTTTATCTAAAACTTTACTGTAGTGCACTGTAGAAGTTTTTGTAAGGTGAAAACTTTTTTGTAAAAATTTTTGTAAGGTAAAAAATTTTGTAGAAATTTTTGTAAAATGAAAAACTTTTTTTTCCTTTTTTTCTCTTTCTCTTTCTATTTCTTTTTCTTTCTTTCCTTTTTCTTTTCTTTCTTCTTTTCTTCTTCTTCTTCTTCTTTCTTTTTCTTCTTCTTCTTTCTTTCTTTCCTCTCCGTTGCCTCCCAAAAAATAATTGGAAAGATAAAAAAGTGATTGAAATTTGTGAAACAAATTATTTTTTTTCAAATCATTTCAATCCAAACACACTCAATGAATTTGTTTTGGATAGGAGTTTATTTGGATGAATTATGAGAGAATGAGACCAATCATCGCTCATATATCGCTGACGTCAAAATTTAGTCCCTTAGAACGAAAATAATTAGTTTTAGTCCCTGACAAAGGGCCTGTTTGGAACTTGAGTTTTTGGGAGTTTGTCGAAAACTTTACTGTAGTGCACTGTAGAAGTTTTTGAAAAAATTTTGTAGAAATTTTTGTAAAGTGAAAAACTTTTTTGTAGAAAATTTTGTAAGGTGAAAAATTTTGTAGAAGTTTTTGTAAAATGAAAAACTTTTTTTTCCTTTTCTTTTTTTTTCTCTCTCTTTCTTTTTCTTTTCCTTGCTTTTCTTTCTTCTCTTCTTCTTCCTTTTTCTTCTTCTTCCTTTTTCTTTTTCTTCTTTTTCTTTCTTTCCTCTCCGTTACCTCCCAGCAACAACTCACGCCCGCCACCTCCACACCACCCCTCTCCTCCCTCTGCCCTCCTACTCCCTCCCACGCTACCCCCTATGCCCACCATCCCTTTCCCCGCTCTCTCCGCCATCCCCTGTGCCCCGCCACCCTCCCTGCCCTTTTCCCAGAGCGACCCCCTCCCCTTGCGACCTCCTGCTCTTTCCCCAGCACGACCCCGTCCCCCCGCCACCCGAGCCATCAACAAGCCAAACACATCTCCGCAGGATAGGGGACAAAACAACGGTGATGGTCGACACCGGCGGTGGTGTGGGTTGGGATAGGGGTGGAAGAAGAAAAAAAAGGAAGGGAATTTTTTTTGTGTTTTGGATATTTTGAAGTGTGTAGGTAAAAAATTTTGAAAAGATTTTTTAGGATTCCTGTAACAAAAGTTGTTAAAAAATTTGTAGGTGAAAAACTTGTCCAAAAACCTGGCTAAAAAAAATGATCACTTTTAGTCCATTTTCACTTTTTCGAGTGGATTTTGACCGGAACTTATTGGGTCCACATAACGTACACAATTTTCAAAGGGTAAGAATGGCAAATCACCTTGACTAGAAAATGTGAGGAGACTAATAGTGCAAAGGTTTAGTTAAACATTCATAAAAAAATATATAACTAACCCACCATTACTAACAATTCATCTCAACCCAAAACAACCCTACTTGCAAACTCGCAACAATTGATTGAAATTCATCTGAAGGAAATTGCTAATTGAAATGCCAAATATATTGGGTTTAGAGATAATGATGTAACAAACGCCGGCAGACTTGGCGACCTTGGCTTGATCGACGGATACAACTTCCACAATTTCTCCACCTTCCAGCATTTGAGCCATCTTGACTTTGATGGAGAATGGGTTCTTCTTGGTTTCAATAATTGCATTACTGCTATAGATCGTGACAGCACCATTGTCAACCAGCATTGCAAGTGTTCGTAAAATGCCTGAATGAAATGTCGGAAGCCGTGGAGCACTGGGGAAAGCTCTACATTTGCCTCTTAAGAGCCGAAGTTGCCGAAAACCCAATAAACTCAAACACAAAAGAGAAGTCCTTAAAACTCATAAAAGCCATCTTCTTCTTTGCCCCGATCGTCAACCAACCATGAGCAGAACCTTGAGCTCCATCAAAAGCCTTGTTTAGACATCACGCTTCTATCACAAAATCTCAGTGACTTTGATCTGAAGAGTTTCTCAAAGACACATCCCATACAATCTATGCCTTTATCTCCTAAAACTTTTTCTTATCTTGTCATTGTCTCGTTCAACAATCCCAACTTGAAAGTTGGCATAGTTTCTTCACGGAAGATGGGAAAGAGTCCAATGACGTGGCACTGTAACAAGAAAAAGATGGAAACTTTGACAAAGCATTTCAATCCCATCCTATTTTCGCCCCAAAAAATGTTGTCTTTAGATATTGCAAGCCACCAAATTTTGCTCTCAACTTTAGGCTTGTGGAATTTCTTCCATCTTGATTTTGACCAGGAACTCCTGACAGACTTGCTAGAATGTTTTGGTCAAGGAAGCACATTTCATTTTTCTCTTTTTTTTTTGCATTTATCTTTTATAGCATATTTGCTTGTTATTTTCTTGTTTTTAATCACGAATTTCCTTCAAAAGAATTTCAATCAACTAAGAGGAGTTTGAAATTATGGTTCATTTTGGGTTGAGATGAATTGGAGATTTTCGAATACTGGTGGAATAGTTTTTGTGTATTTTGATGAATATTTAACTAAAGATATGCACTATTAGTAGGGATGGCAACGGGGCGGGGTTGGGGCGGGGGACCCCTCCCCCGTCCCCCGCCCCGTTGCCTATTAGTTCCCCCGTCCCCCGCCTCCCGCTCCCCCCGCCCCGCCCCGCCTTGCCCGCTTCCCCCCGCGGGGTTAATAAAATTTTATTATAATTAAATTTTAATAAATAATCAAGTACTAAAATATCAACACATCACCAAATTATTATTCATTGTAATTTTACAATTGAAACTCATAAAAACAATCAAACAGAAGTTATTTGAATACAATCCAATATGATGAAATAAATATAACTAAAATAGTCAAATTTTCACTTTTAGTACAAATGCAATCACTAATTCATCATTGTGTTTGTGTTTTTTTTGAGAAAAAAGTGTTATTCTATAAGTGTAATTAGAAATTTAGTATAAATGTATTAGTAAATTTAGTATAACTAATTAATAAATTCTATTAGTAGACATGTATAATTATTCATATAATTGATAATATCAATTATATTACATAAACTAATATACATTATATAATACATCTAACTAATAATATCATTATCATAAGTTTATAACTAATTAACTTACATATAATATATAGTCATATATATATATATATATATATATTTTTTTTTTTTTGCGGGTGGCGGGGCGGGGGATGGGGCGGGGGAGTATACCCCCGCCCCCCCCCCGTTTCTAAGCGGGGGGAAAAAATTCCCCCCGCCCCCCGCCCCACCCCCCGCCCCAACCCTCGCCCCGTGAGCCCCCCGCGGGCACCCGCCCCCATTGCCATCCCTAACCATTAGTTCTTCAAATTTCTGATCAAGTTGATTCTTCATTTTTATCCTTTAAAAGTTGGACATGTCATGTGGGCCTAGTAAATTTCAATCAAAATCCGCCGCTCGAAAAAGTAAAAATGGATTAAAGGTGAACATTTTTTGTTTGTTAAGGATTAAAACTAATCATTCTTGTTCTAAGGAACTAAATTTTCACATCAGCGATACGTGATGGACGATTGGTATAATTCTTCCATGATTTATTTGAGATAATTACTATAGCACTTTTTATGATGTGATATATGTGAGATAAAAAAGTGATTGAAATTTGTAAAGTAATTTTTTTATTTCAAATCTTCCTAATCCAAACATACCCAGTGAAATTAAAAATGGCCGGAATGATGATTAAATTATCTAAAATGGCACAATTTGATCACTGTGAACATTTTTTCTTTTTTGGCAAAAAAATCACTCAACTCCTTAAAATGAGCGTTTTGGGTCTTTTTTGCTAGATCAAATGAAAAAGAACTTGCATTTTTGTGAAGCCTAGAATAGTAGGTCAAATGTGCATTTTTTTGGTTGATTTATTGGTTAAATTAGCCAATATAATCCAAAAAGCCCATTTTAAAGAATTAAATGATTGGATTGTGCCAAAAAAAAGTTTAATGTTCAAATTGTACTATTTTAAATACTTTAATGATTATTTTAGTCATTTAATCAATTTAAAAACGTCCATCCATCCATCCACGAAGAGAGAGAGAAAATGAGAAAGACAGAAAGAAACCCGGGCCACATATTATCGTTTCGGAAAAAAAAAAAGAAAGAAACCCGGGCCACGTGCATCCCGAAATTGATTCGCAGCCACAGCGTTGCTTAAGAACTACGTGCCGATACCTACGAGTCCGAGCCGCCGAAATGGAATCCTGGAACCGGATCACCATCAACAGCTGCTGCCAACCACTGCCACCTCATTCTTACTTTACACGTAGCTTACACCGCTCTTCCCACCTCAAAAGTTCAGCGTCAAACGCCCCTCACGACGACCATAACAGCCATTGGTTACCCCAATTCACCCTTAAGACTTGACCCGTCCCAATTCCCATGCTGATTTATAGCTACTTCTATCAATTGTACGCAAGTATTACGCTACGATTAAGCGAGCATCCTTTATCGGTGGCTGTTTTTTTTATTCTTATGGTTTGATAGTAAAAACTACTACTAGTTGAACAAGAAATAACTAACATGGAAGTCTAACAATTCATCCTTGAAGGAAGTTCAAAATAAATTTTATACAAAAAACTATTTTAGAAAAAAAAAATGTTGAAATGCACTTTCTTATTTGTTAATGAAACTCTTTTTGATATTTTGACTATCTAAATTAGATTAAAAAAAAAACTACCCATATCCTTTGTTAATTGTATCATCAATTTTTTTTTATGAAGGTGTAATTATAATTTAGAGTATCTTCAACTTTTTTCCTTTTGAGTTTACATGAGCAAAAAAGTCACAAATAAGAGTGTGTCACTAGCATTTTTTTGGTTTTAATATTTAGCTCCTTATCAAGTTTGAATCTAAACAAGAAGCTGGAGCCTTATTTTTTAACTTCTACTAAATGTATTTAATTTGAATTTTGAGTAAAATCATCTATACTGTTATATATGAAGGGAGTGTAGTGGCTTTGGGGTAATTTTTTTTCGCCTTTGGATTTCCAAATTTACTCTCGTAATCGCTAAATTATGCCTTTATCATTTGATTGCATCTTGCCCATATTGCCTATCAATGCAATCAGAACTAATTTTCGCCCATAATCACTGATAAATATTGTAATCACTAAGTTAATTAAAATTCTATTCAAAATTTTTTATAAATTTGAGAGAGTATTTTTTAATAAAAATTTTATACTAATTTCTTCTATACTTTTTTTTTTGTCAAAATTAAACTCTTCTATATAAAAGGTGGTTGTTGCTAAATTGGACATAACTTTAGTTTGCCCTTATCACTAGTAACTAGAAAAGGAGAATCTATGTTCGGCCCGGAAAAATCCGTTTAGCTAATGGGAGAGGATAGGAGGCCAGTTGGAGCTTATATAGAATTCTTAGGCAGATACATGTACAGTTCGCGGGTATCGCTAATGTTGCTCTTCTGCTGCAGTTTTCTCTCCCCTGCACCCTCCCTCCCCTCTCCCTCTCCCTCTCCCTCTCCCTCTCCCTCAAGGAAGGAGAACAAGTCACCTGGAGTTAAGGGCCTCCCAGGTTTTGACTTTTAAAATCTAAATTTCTAGTCCTCGGTAATCCCAGGATCTTATAACTAAACCATACTCTCTATCTTTTCTCTGGTGCATTATGCAAAGAAAACCATTTACTCAAAGAAGCTCCCATGTTAGATTCTCTTAGACAAACGCTTGCCCAAATAAAGCTTCCTATTTAAGCACCAAATTCCAGTTCTCCTTCGTGCCTCTGTCTTTTCTGATCTGATGAGTCCTCCCTTCAGTTTCGGATTCTTCCTTTTTTCTTTTATTTTTCTTTCTGTTAAAATTTTCTTTTAAATGAGGTCGGGACTTAGAGTATCTTTTGATTCATCTTCTTGCAGTTTAAAACATTTGTTTGTATTTGATTGATTATCTTAGTGAAAAACAAGGAAGCCTATCTCAATATTTTCTGTTTTGTTGTTGTTTTTTTTTTGGATTAATGTGAAAAACAAGAATATACGCCGCTTCCTTACTCAATTTTCTGAACTGGCACGCGCTTAAAATCTGAATTAATTCAAAGGAGATTTGCATGTCAACTTTGTTGGACATTTATTTGGTTTAGTTGACTATTTCAGGTTCAGGTGAAGCATAATCTCGGAGATCATTAAGACAGGAGATGGAGATCATTTATAGGCCTTATGTTGATCCGGATATCGTATCTCTAATTGAAAGAATGCATCCTCCAAGGTTTTTTCTTGCATCACTTCGTCCGAATATATATATAGACACACACATAATCGTCCAATTTCGGTGATTCAAAATCAGTTTTTGCGGGTTAACTCTGTTTGCTTGACCCTTATACCAGCTTCTTCTTCTTGAGCTTTCTGCAGGGTTTCCATAGACAATGATACCTGCCCAGATTGCACCCTTGTGAAGGTTAGTAACTAAGAACAAGAATTTTTAGAAAGTAGGAATCTTTATTAGTTGTTTGGCGACCTTTGTTAGACCAAAGTTATTGCTTAGTCAGGTCTTTCTTTAAGGGATGATACCAATGGTTTCCTTGACTAAATTATTCAGCTAGAATTTCTAAGTTGAAACGGTGGGGACGGGCTAATAGATTCCTATATATATAATTGGAGTGATCTTTGGTGATATGAGCTAACCTTGACTATCAAATTGTTAATCCCTCGTGAATACAACAAACACCAAATCACTCTTTCAGGGAGGAGATTTGGCCGAGCCTTTTGTCATGTACCTTCATTCTCTATTTGACTCTGGTCAGCTACCACCTATATTCTTACGCCAATTTGCGACAAACAAAGCCATCATTAGGAATGAATTTGGATTTTTAACTGTTTTCTGACTTGTTTTTTCCCCCTTGTTATTTCTGTGGTCGTCTAGAATTTCTGTTTCTCCAATTTATTTATTTTTCTTCTTTTCACTATTTTGTTCGGCGGCATTAAAAGTCTCCCTTTTACTCTTCCAAGTTCACACCCACCTTTCAGCGTTGGCCTTCAATCATCAATCGCTATATATATTCAGGCTATTTCAGACCCTTTCTCAGCGCGCGTCTTTAAGAACTCTCACTAGCAAGTTACCACCAACATATACTACTTATTTTGAAGCGAGCAAAAACATGGCTAAGTTTGTATCCTTCTTCACAGTAGCCCTTCTTTTCAGCTTTCTGTCACTATCTTTTGCTGGTCGTCCTGAGCCGGCTTTTGTTGATGCCACCCTGATGAAAACTCAGCAACACGTAAGTGTCTAATTCTCTGTTCCCCTGTTTTTCAAGTTTTCACCTCTGCAGACATGCTGAGATGGTCTTTATGCTCATCTTTTTTTCTGATGGGGTGCTCGTATTCGATTTATTTCTGCAGGAGGTAGAAGCAAAGCAAGCAGAGATGGAAGAAACTTGCGGAGGAGTTGGGGAGGAAGAATGTTTGATGAGGAGGACTCTTGCTGCTCATCTTGATTACATCTATACCCAGAATCATAAGCCGTAGTAATTCAAGGAAAGACATTTTTGGTTGTTACCTATAGGCAAATAGCTGCTTGTACAACTTCTATGATCATGCAAACTTCGATTCCAGTGACCTGAAAAACATGTGATCATTAGACGTGATTGACTTGGCTCAAGTATAATCTTGTTTTGCTAGTTAATTTCTGACCACTGCTATTAAAAACTGCCTGTTTAGTGCTTGGTGCCTGGATTTCTGAACAGACTCATGTACTCAGGATGCGTTAAATTCCTTAGGATCTCTCAGTTTCTCTCTCTTTTTGTGGATAGAAATGAGGAATAATATCTCTTTCTTCGTATGCGAAACACCTGTAATTACAGTCTTTCATCCATTGCAGCAATTTCTTCTCTTTGCTGACTGTATTTTTAGCAGGAATGATCGGTTTCCTGAAATATACAATCTCTCCGCTGCTGGTTGCCTTTGATACGTTTATACACCGCGACCTAAAAGAACTACCAAAGACGATGATGATGTTCCCGGTGAAAAAAATGACCTACCCGAAAAGAGAAGAGAAAAAAATAAATAAATAGCAAGTTAGTTACCAAAAAAAAAAAAAAGGAGGTCGGTAAAGCAGTAAGAGGAGCTGACTCTGAAGACTCCAGTTCCGTGTGGTTGACTTAGATTCAAAAGTCAATTAAACGGGAATAAAAAAACGTTCGACCAAATACATACACCGTAGCCAGTAGCCTCCGGGGGCATAACCTGTAACTCAATCAACTTTAACAGAGACGCCTTGCTATACTATATAATCAAGTTGAGTACTTTAGTATTTCATTCGGTTTCAGAGTCCGCCCAAAGCAACAATTAATGAAAGCTCACGGGTCAACTAAAGGAATATTTATGATTACTGAATAGTAATCACACGTAATTGCATATTTATGGATCCTCATCTACACCAGTGATCCGTTGTTCCAAGGTGGCTTCGTACTTTTACAGCGATAGGGATCACAGCACTGGAAGTAAATTGTACAGAAGAAAGGAACATTTTATCTGTTTGTTCATTTTCAGAATTTAATGGAAACAACTACATTTTAAAGCAAGTACCCAAGGTCACAGGTTGATGTTGATGAGGTTGGTTGACAGTTGAGACATTATTATTGTAACTCCAACCTAGTAATGACCATTACTATACTACTGGTTACTACTATTAAATGGTTGCAGTAATAAATATTAGCGCAATAAAAATTTCTCCGAATTGCAGCCGTTAGTTCCTCGAGAACAATTCATTCATTTCACCTCATCATACATTTAGCCGAAACCTTGCGGCTTACAATGCGAATAGAAGGATTTGGGTATGTTCTGGGAGGTGGTCCTGAACCTAAATGAAATGTTGTCTCTGCAACAGCGGCCTGATATCTTATCTTCACGCACAGCGGAGCTCTCCCTCCTCTGATGTCTGATGCAGATTAGATAACTCGTCAGTGTGTATGTTGCTACCATTACTGTTCCATTATTACTCGTTTATCACCAATTGAACCAGTATCAGTTCATTTACATTATGAAATTTGGATCTGTTTCGGTGTACATGCCAATTGGATTCTAAGTAGTCCAGTTGCAGACCTATCTTCGACATTAAATTCTCCTGAAACAGCAGTAGTCAAAGTTGCTCTTTTCTTTTTTTTTTTTTTGGTTTTGGGGGGGGGGGGGGGGGGTTTGGATTAGGAGATGGAAAGTATTGGAAACATGGTGCGGCCATTGCAGAAACATTGCCCTAATAATCCAACGGTTTGCATGGGAGAATGCAAGTAGTAGTAGTACATGTGAAAGCCCAGCCACCAACCCAGATTCGGTCAAATGATAGTTTACAACGTTTCCTGCAATCGGTCCAAGTTGAATCATCAAATGACTGCTTGCCGCTTCAACTAATAATGCTTTGGTGGGTATCATTCCATTAGTTTAATTATTCTATGGAGGGGTGCCACTGCCTATATTTACTCATTGTCCACCTTATTCTCGGTTTAATTACGAAAAGATAAATAAAATCGGGTGAAGTGGGAATCTGTCAACCCACTCTTGGCAGCAATTCTTGTCACAACATTGAAAGCCGAAGTCCCTTTAGCGAAAGCGTCTATGAACATGAATTTCTTCCACTCCCCAATGCATATGAGAATTTCATTCTATGACTAGGAGATTTACTATGATTCTATGACTAGAATCTAATTTGCTGCTATTGTGGCAAGCTATTTTTTTCATTAAATTAAAAAAAAATGATGACAACAATATCTAGCCCAATAGTATTCCTTGTTTAAAGTTTTAAGTAAGAGTCATGTAATGTAATGGGAGATTAGGTGTATGTTCCCCTTCAATTTTAATTTTTTACTTTAATAAAATTTGGCTGGCATCTCACCCCCCCTTCCCCCCCCCCCCCTATTAGGGTATGCTGGAAAAAAAATCTACCAACTCACATATTTTACCCCATTTAATGCGTGCGACACTACATCATCTAAAAGGAGAGAAAAAAAAAAAAAGAAAAAGGCCTAAGTTTGTAATTTTCCACTCTCTCTCCTTTCTTCTCATTTCATTCGATACACTTACTTTTTTTGGCAACCTTCAGCCAAATAATGCATGTGTGCCACAAACGCTAGTCACAATAATAAAAGAAAGACACATGTAGGATAAATAATTCGAGCAAGATGACAAAATTACGAACATAAACGCATTGGACTGAAGTTACGAAGCCCATTTGTAAAGAGTATTGGGCCGGTGATCAAAAAAAATATGTGATGGCCCGAATTATCAACAGCGTCAGGAGTCAGAGAGGAACTTTCTGAAATCTGCAGAGGAGTAGGAAGACGGAGTCTCCTTTCGGCTTGGAAGTGTTGATCCAAAGCCTGATAAATGTTCGGGAGAAGGAGGTTTTTGTCGTTTCCTTTGGTTATTGGAGCTGTTGTGTAAGCTTCCATGCCTTGTTCTTATTTTTTCTTGAATTTGTGTATGTCTATGTGTAGATTTGCTTGAGTGCTCCCCTGCTATGTGAATTGGCTGCGATTCAAGATTGGAAATTTTTATGCCTTTTCTTCCCCTGAATGCTTCTGAACGAGTCATAGCTATTTAATTTCAAGCCAGTGAAAATTTTGTTGCTTTTATTATGGCATGAAGTTTCGAGGTATGGTGTTGTGCCCAAAAATTCGTAGAATAAACAAATGCTAACTGTGGTTATTATTGGAGAATGATGGTTAAATTCACAGTATTAATTGGGAGAGGTTAGACTTCATGAGTGAAGTATAGGCACTCTGGCAAGAATAAACTGATTTGCAATGGCACGCTAGCAAGGACAATTTTTCTTGAATTGGAGTTAGATGGTATTGATTAGTGATATTCATGTTGAGAGGCCTCTTTAATTCAGTGTTGTCTCAAATGGTAATGAGGAACTTTAGATAAGTAGCATTACCTATAAAAACTTGGGTTAGTCATGAAAACATCATCCATGCTCTTTGTGGGCATTTACACTGATAAAATCATTTCTGATAAATGTAGAAAGGAAATGAGGAGACCATAGGCATTTTGAAGATAGCGAAGAGTAATATGTATTGAATATTGAGAGATTATGTGCTGCTGTTAAAATTTGAGTTTGCATAGTGGAACTGCCTGCTGAATGTCATACCCCTGAACTTTAGTGCTGGTCAATGAAGTGAGACTGGTATGGTTCTTAAAGGCTTGATGCTTGGTATTTGGATGTCAGTGTCACAACATGAAACTCGTACAGGTTTTCGGTGCTGTTAGTAATTCCCTCAAGGTTTTAGAATGTTTCTGATATGTGTGGTAAATTGGACAGGCCATACTCAATCGAGGGTGCTGTTGAATTTGTTATACGGGAATACTAGTTGGGATGCATTTATGCGGTTAAAAAGAGTCAATTTGTCATTTGCTTGTCTGGTAGGAAATGCTCCTTTGAAGATACACCTGTGCTTCTAAAATGATTTTGTGAATGGAAACCTTATTTCAGTATCTACGGCTTAACAAGTGTGGTGGAACCAAAGCTGTGCTTCTTGTCCAAGTGTGTTGGTGAAATTCTTAATGCAGGTTTAAATCCTAACAAAAACTTAATATTTTGACTGTATGTTGTGTTGAACAGCCTTCAGATTATTCAGACT